TCTAGCTAGTCTCAAAACCATTCTGAAAGAAACTTAGTTCCCTTCATTTTACAAATGAAGCGACCTGATTGGATAACTTCTAAAATTCCTTCCAGATTTAAATCCATGATCCTATGACCTTAGACCTATGGAGAGATGCACAAAAGCCCTGCTTTCATACTCCATCATGATGTGGAGATTCTTACTCTTGGTTCTTACCAGCCGTGCCAGTGGAGTGCCACATTCTGATAGGTTCTGCCAAGTGGGAAAGGCTTTGATCGTGACCCTGACAGGAAATGGTGTCTGCTATCCGGGGACCAGCCCAGCTGAGTATGGAGAGGCTTGTGACTACTAGGTGATGAAGTCCTCTGTCATGATGACTGATGTAGTCAAGTGCAGGCCTTTTCGGCTCCTCTAGTGATGATGGAAAAGCAGCAAAAAGGGGTCAGACAGAGAGTGCCAAGTCAATTTTTTGGCTACCTACAAAATAATAATTTAACTGTTGATATTGTACTGTGAGATTCTGGTCCAGTGTGTTGATGAAATCACTGGGACAACTGAATCAAATCATGGTCACATGGAAGGATAACTCATAAGCTTTCCTCAGAGAAGTGAATGAAGGAATTTGGAAGATTTGTTTTCATTATGCACCAAAAAATTATTTCATAAGATGGGCATATCGTCTTGCAGTTCCCCAGATAAACATAAATAAAAAAGCAACCACGAAGGTAACCAGAGCTTATGGATCAATATCTGTTGCAGAGGACAGAAATGTTGAGAAAAATTATAAAGAACCAAACTAGTTAGATGAAATTCAATAGCAATGAATGTAAAATCTTACATGTACATTCAAGAAATCAACTCCACAATTACAAGATGGGAAGAAAGGGTTAGATAACAATTTGTCAGGAAAAAAAATCTGGGGTCTCAGTGGACTGAAAGTTCAATGAGATTGTAAGCTCCTTGAGGGACTGTCTTTTACTTCTTTTTGTATCCCCAACACTTAGCACAGTGCCTGATACGTAGTAGATGCTTAGTAAATGTTTAGGGATTGATTGAGTCAACTGTGTGAGATTGTGGCCAAAAAAATAATAATAGCTAACATTTATATAGTGTTTGCTACATGCTAGGTGCTGTACAATTATTTTCTCGTTTGATCCTCAAAACACCCCCAGGAGGTACGTGCTATTATTATTCCCATTTTACACATGAGGAAACTGAGGCAGATGGAAATTAAGTGATTTGCCCAGGGTTACCGAGCTCCTAAGTGTCTGAGGCTAGATTTAAACTTTGTTCTAGCCTGACTCCAGGCCCAGTACTCTCTCTATTGCACCACCTAGCTGCCCTCAATTTATTTGGGCTGCATTAAGAGAGATATAGCTTCCAAGTATAAGGAAAGGATAATCCAGCTATATTCTGTCCTGGGCAGACCAGATCTGGAACATTGTGCTCAGTTCTAGGCACCGTAGTTTAGAAAGGATAAATTGGAAAGCATCCAGGGGAGGGCAATAAGGACAGCGAATGAGCTTCTTCTTGTTGAGTCATTTCAGTTGCATCTGACACTTCGTGACCCCATTTGGGGTTTTCTTGGAGTGGTTTGTATTTCCTTCTTCAGCTCATTTTACAGATGAGGATACTGAGGCAAATAAAGTTAAGTGACTTGCCCAGGGTGACACAGTTAACAAGTGTCTGAGGCCACATTTTAACTCGGGTCCTCCTGACTCCAGTTCCAGCTGCACCATATGAGGATAGGATGAAGGAAGCAGAGATATTTAGCCTAGAGGAGAGAAGACTCAGAAGGAGTCTTTCCTGAAGTAGCTTTCTTAAAGTACTTCAAAATCTATAGAAGGTAGTGATGAGTAGAAACTAGAGGGATGGGTAGAAGCTACAAAATAGGAAAATTTAGATTTGCTACCAGGAAAAATCTCCCAATTAGAGCTATGAAAAAAATGGAATGGTCTTCCTGAAGGAGCAATGAGTAGCCCTTGCCAGAGGTTTTCATGCATAAGTTAAAGTGTTGGATATGGAGTTAGATCTGGATTCAGATCCTGGCTTCAGTATGTAATAACTGTGTGACTACAGACAAGCCACCTCTACCTGAGCCTCTGTTCCCTCATCTATAAAATAAGGATGATAATATTTGTACTACTTACCCAAATGTGGTAGAGTCGCTGATACAGAAAAGAATTAGTAATAAAAGTCTGGATGGATGTTTTCCATTTTTCATCTGCTTCTTCTCTGTTTCATTGTTAAATTCTCTTGGGACAATGTGACTTAATTGATTTTCCTGCCAAGCTTTCTGCAAGAAGTTTTTCGCCCATCTATCACTTGTCAGTGTTTTATGCTCAACGCTGGTTATAACCTTTCATTATCATTCTCTATTTTGAAAAATAAATTTTACAAATTTATACATAGCATAGTGGAGATTAAGCTGGCTTTAAACCCAGAAAGAACTGGTTTTAAGTCTCACTTTGGACACGTATTGACTGAGTGACTCTGGATAAGTTCCTTAACTTCTCAGATCTTCAGGCAATTCTCTAAATTATAAGTAACAGAGAAGCTGCTAACCTACATTGGTAAAGCAAGTAAATTCATCTGAATTCCCTATACTAATGAAATCATAAGTCCAGTCCTCATCCCTATGATCTTGTACATGAGTATTGACGCTAGCTGCCATATCACTTAGCAATGATCTCATGTTTGCTATCTAAGGCAGTTTGTAGGTTCTTTTGCCCTTTTACTATGGCAATTGCTTTACATCAATTAAATTTCCTTAGGGAATGATGATAGTCTGCATTGATATCTCTTCTTTTACCCACTTCCCTTATATGGAAGGAGTGGAGGTAGTAACTTCTTTAGGTCCGTCACATTCAATCTATTTTAATTGCACAACTTATTTTTACTTTTTGTTCTAACTTGTTATTGATTTTAGTGTTTGTTCTAACAAGTCAATGATTTGATTGTACATCAACAACTGATATGGAGATGACTGACTTATAAAGTAACCAATCATTTCCTATCTGTTAAGATAGTCTTCCAATTTTGTGATGTCATTCAGTGCTCACCACGTACAATGCCAATTGACTCTCTTCCTAAAGTATGAATTATACATAGTCATGGTCTCTGTGTTGTCGAACATCCTTTGACCTCCTTAGTTTCTTAATCTTGAGCTGCATTTCCCAACATATTTTGCACCATCTTTACATATTTATAATGAAGTCACTGAGTAGTAATGTGTATATGGAGTTAATTTGGAGGGTCTTATCAGATTCTTTGTCAAATTTCTCTATCTCTTCATCTGCAATTGGCACATAAGATATTGGTTAAGTAAGCTGCAATCATCATCACATTGGTCCATTTCCTTTTGCTCTTCATAAGCATTACAATATAGCAAGTGTCCCACAAGATCATTTGTTTTGTTGCCTTTGTTTGGATGATGAAACCAATTTTGCCAGCCCTTTTATTTGCTTCTCCAAGGAGAACATGTGAGACGTCCTTATATTTAGTTGTTATTTCCTCTTGTGTTTTAGTTTTATTTCTAGCAACTATGCCAAGAATGATACAATCTAGTTCTAGTATATTGACTGGGTCATTGGACAAGAATTTCACAATGTCTGTAGATGACCTCATAATTGGATAATTCTTAGCTTAATGCCTCATTTTCCAACACTCTATGACTGCATAAGAGGAAGATAGCCACAAAGGGCTAAGAGCTATTTGGTATTTTTTTGTTTGCTTCAAGACTCAACATGGTCAATTATTTTATTATTGTAACCAATTTGCTAGGTATAATTTCAGAGTTTTAAGAGTTTATATTTATCTGATCATTGGGAATTTTGAATATTTTTCATGTGATTTTTGAGTTTGTAAGTTTTTAAATTCAAGAACTGCCTGTTTATATTTTTAAACCACTTAGCAACTGGAGAATTGCTCTCATTCTTACAAATTTGTGTCACTTCCAATAGTTTTGTATGTCAGACTTTTGTTAGAGGTTTTTGATGCAAAGATTTTTTTTTTTATTCCAATCTGTCTCTTTCCTTTTGATTCTGGATGCATCAGTTTTTATTGTACAAAAACGATAGCCTAACAAAAAGGTTCTGGAGGCAGAGGAATTGGGTTCAAATATTCCCTCATGCTTTTTACCTATATGACACAGACTCCATGGGCCTTAGCTTCCTCATCTGTTATAAGTGGGGATTAGAATTGATGGCCTCTCCATAGGTTTCTCCTAATTCTAGATATCTTGATACTGGAATCACCCACTATCTGGCTTACTAGAGATGAGCCTCTTCTCAATTGGCTAGGATTGTCTTGAAAAGTAGACTCAACTTGAAGTCTTTCCAGCCTAGTAGGGCCTAGAAGAGCTTGAACTCTATGGGTACAGACCTCGAGAATGTAGGGTCACCTCCATGAAAGAGTAGTAAGTGTGAGTTATTAAATGCCTTTCACTTGTAGGTACGGCACTGCGTTATGCTTTCTTTATTTGTTTGTTTGTTTTTCTGGTGAGGCAATCAGGGTTAAGTGACTTGCCCAGGGTCACTCAGCTAGTAAGTATCAATGACTGAAGTCAGATTTGAACTCAGGTACTCCTGACTCCAAAGTCAGTGCTCTATTCTCTGTGCCACCTAGCTACCCCTATTCTTTCTTTATGTTTTCTGAATTATAGGAAAGAGTTGTATTGAAAGCATTTCAACTCCTCCAGCCGGGTTCTCTTATGACCAAAGGTATAATTTGAGAGTTGACAAAGGTTCAAGGGTATAATCAGTGATCATGGAAAATTCTGACTCAGTCCCCAACATGGGGATCAAACCGGTAACCTTGGCCTCATAAGCACCATGCCTTGTGCCCACTGAGCTAATCAGTCACAGTGATGTACATCCCCTGTTTTATCAGATAGTGAGAAACAAACCAAGCATGTCCAATAGCTCTGTTTATTCTGCCCACCCCACCTGAACCCTTCCCAGCCACCCACACATTAGCAGCACAGAAAAAGCCAGCAGAAATCACAAGAGACGATGGGCTAAGTAAGAGTAACATTTACTGAGCGATACAGGACTGAGTACTATGAAGGGCTTACACAGATGGAAATGGGCATCACCCCCTTCGGGATCACTGCATCAGGCATCAGGCATCCCCTCCACGGGCACCAGCCCTAGGGCGCCCAGGGACTACAGCACTTAACACTGACTTACACACAATGGCAATAACTGTGGAGTATCTGTTCGTAACAAACAAACCATAACATATTTATACCATATCACGTCTAGTGATTATATAAATCCATATATATATTGCTGTATAAAACCTTTTTTCTTTTTGTAAAAAATATTAAAAAAAAAAAAGAGAGAAGTGTAAAAATGTGCAGTTTAAAGCACTGCCGGGACAGCCAGGCTGTAAACATTAGAGTGAGTATGTGCTTTGGAAGGGCGCCCGCGCCTCAGTGCCCACAGCAAACTCCAGCAGGGAGCGAGGTCTGGTAAGGAGGGCTCTTCCCAGGGACGCAGGAAGAGCGTCGGCAGGATCCAGGGGGATGACGATGGAACAGGGACATGCAGATGGTGGCCACCGAGACTGCTTGTTGGTTCTGTATCACATCCCTCTCCTGCTCTGTTGTATGACTGGGGGGGGGGAGGGTTAAAGGGCTGGGGGTAGTGACTGAAATTGTATTCTGAACTCCATTTGGATTTTCTTTTCCCGATTCAACTTACACTTTTCCAATGCCAGGAGATGTCCCCAAGACAGGTTGACTGATGGGAAATGATAGGAGAGGAGACTGTGGCCATGAGGGCTGGGAGGCCCCTTCCTTCATTCACCCCTTTCTCCCTCATCACTGTAATCCTAGGCACTGGATCATCCCCCTTCCCTGTTTCTACTTTGGTCTCAATTCATTGCTGATCTCAAGCTTCCCTCAACCCTCCCTTCCCCATGTGTTGCTGGTCTGTATTCCACAAAGAAGCCCGCTGTATTCTGGCGGTGCTGAGCCTTGTTGCAAAGTTTTTTCACACATAAACAACGGCCCCACACGGGACCCTATGTCCTCCTCCCTCCTCATCCTCCTTCTTCTTTCCTCTCCCAATCCACTTTCATTTCTTCTCAAGTTGTTCGAGTAATGGGTTGGCTTCAGACTCCGGGGTCTTGACACTGTCTGTCCTCACGATACAAGTGGGACGATGCCGATTCAGCATCAAGATCAGCTGCTGCCTTTCCTGTTTTAGCTCCTCAATTTGTGCCTTCAGTTCTGCATTCATGAGTTCCAAGCGCTCAGATTCCTAGAGAACCCCAAACACAAAAAGAGGCAGCTTTAAGTGTGCACCAAGGGATTGGCCTCTGAACGAGGCTAAGGGGGAGGGGGAGAAAAGGGGCCGGTTGAAGCAAAATTCCTTTCACCTCTTTTTATCTGCTCTTGCCTACAGAACTATAACTACAGTGAGGCAACTAGGGTGTCATCCCAGGGCACTTAAATATAGAGGGCTCCAACATCATTTATATTTCTTTCTTTCTTTCTGAGGCAATTGGGGTTAAGTGACTTGTCCAAGGTCACCCAGCTAGTAAATATCTGAGGCCAGATTTGAACTCAGGTCCTCCTGACTCCAGGGCTGGGGTTCTAACCACTGTGTCACCTAACTTCCCATCATTTGTATTTCTTCAGCATCTAGAAATAACTAAACTTAACACTTTGATGTTGTGGGGGTTGTTGAATTGTATCCGACTCTCTATAACCCCATTTGGTGTTTTCTTGGCAAAGATACTGAAGGGGTTTGCCATTTCCTTTTCCAGCTCATTTTACAGATGAGGAAACTGAGACAAACAGGGTTACGTGATTTGCCCAGGGTCATACAGTCAGTAAGTGTCTAAGGCCAGATTTGAACTCAAGTCTTCCTGAATCCAGGGCTGGTGCTCTATCCACTGTGCCACTTAGGTGTCTCCAAGCTTAACACTAAGCAATAATAATCAATCAATCAATTGATAGGTATTTATTAAGCACTTACTTAGTACCAGGCACTGTGCTAGTCATTGGGACACAAAAATAGAAATGAACCAATGTCTGCCCTTAAGAAACTTGCATTATATTATGGGACAACATGTATGCCTATAAAGACAGACAGATAGATAGAGAGATAGATAGAGAGATAGATGGATATATAAAGTACACATGCACATACAGACATACAATATATAGAGATACACACACATATATGTGTATAGTAAGAGAAATAGATGTATTTATACAGCCCTGTTTATGTATTCACACACACACACACACACACACACACACACACAAATAGAAGGTAATTCTCAGGGAGAGGCAGCCATAGAATGGTGGATTGTGGACTGGCCTCAGAATCAGGAAGTCCCAGGTTCAGATACCTCTTCTGATATATACCAGTTGTGTGACTCTGGGCAAATTACTTCATGTCTCAGCACCCAAGATCCCTCTCTAAGATTGTAAATTGCAGGCTAGGTGCCAACCTGCATTGGCAGAGAGAATTCCTCCCTGGAAGTTCCCTATGCCAGTAAAATTATAGATCCAGTCCAAAAATAAATAATCAGGTTGGAGGGGGTAAGAAGAAAAGTACTAGAAATGTGGGGTGGGGTGAGGGAAGTAGGGGTGGATTATGAAAGAGAGTAGACTTCAGAAGCACAATCAACCTCTGGTGGGGACAGTGAAACCCCAAAAGAGGTCCCTCTCCTCCTGGCTTCCTGTGAAACAGTTTCCTAGCTCTTCTGCTAGCTCCCAAATAGGATCAGAAAATCAGTGCACAAAGGCTGAAAAAGGACTGACCGTCAATGCTGTAACACATTGCTAAAGTCAGAGTCAAGGCACCTGCTTGTAAATCCCAGCTCTGACAGCTATAGCCAGGTGACCAACCATGGGTAAATCACATCACCTCTTTGTGCCTCAGTTTGCTTCAGAAGAAGGAGGTTGGACTAGATGAACTTCGAGCAAAAACCAGCTTGACCAGTTTTTTTTTTTTAGGCAGTTGGGGTTAAGTGACTTGCCCAGGGTCACACAGCTAGTAAGTGTCAAGTGTTTGGTCTGAGGCTGGATTTGAACTCAGGTCCTCCTGACTTCAGGGCCGGTGCTCTATCCACTGCGCCACCTGGCTGCCCCTTGACCAGTCTTTTGAGGTATGTTGTAAAGTGGATTCTTGAAGAGGTATTGGTCAGAATAGATGGCCTGTCACATCCCTCCCAACCTGGAGAGTCTACAACTCTATAATCTCCAAGGTCTTGGAAAAGATCTCTACATTTTATGACCTAGCCCCATCTTTTGTGCAATTTTCAACAGCACTTTTTTGGGAAAAGAGGAGCAACCACACTAATATACATAAATATCAGTCTTCTTAGATCACCGTTGTTATTATCACTGCCCCTTCCCCTCCCAAGAAAACTCCCAATAGCTCTTCGCTGCTTACAGGATAAAATCCAGAATTCTTACGATGGCATTCAAAGTTCTTCACAGTCTGGCCGTAACTTACTTTTCAAATGAAATTTCCCATTGCACAAAACTTACTCTACTATTACTACTACTGATAAAAATAACAACAATAATAACAATAGCATTTATTTAGTGCTTTAAAGTTTGCAAAGCATTTTACAAATATCTCATCTGCTCCTCACAACAATCCTGGGAGTTAGGACATTCCCCCCATTTTAAGGGGCAGAGGCACAGAGGGAGTGACGTTGTCATAACTACTGGCCATCATCAATCAGATAGGGATTCACAATCAAGTGGTCAAATGCAGTCAAATGATTGGCCTAGAGGGAGGAAGCTCAAGTCTCTGGTGGTACCATCCCTTTAATCCAGAGAAGAGAAAATAGAAAAGTTGGCTAGCTGATTAATCAGCCAAGATTGAAGGTAAGCAGTAAACATAAATGACATTTCCTAGAGATTTTCCTTTTGGATTAACAGAGAAACAAAGGGTTCTCATGGAAGGAAAATCCATGGAATCAGAAGACAAAAAAAAATTATGTAGATGATGTTTTTCAGAGTTCTTATGGCACCAAGCAGGAGTGAACACAATATATCAATGACTCACCCAGGAGAGGCCATAGTGGCACTGAGGGGAAGGTGAACGAGTTCATGGGTACAGCAAGAGCTACGTTTTGAGAAAAAATGTTCCCATTCTGACAGGCATCCATAAAGCAATCTCCTTGGGTCCAGTTGGATCAACTTAAACTAGGACATCAGGGATTTCACTTCAAACGACAGCCATGTGACAAATGGGAAAATAATTGCTCAAGTGTACAGATGCTCTGAAAAAGAGTCCTTATTTTGACAGGATCCCCAAAGAAGCACATGAGTACTATGAGAGAGACCAGAGGGGGTGGTGTGTGCCTATCATCTCTGCAACTGGACAAGGCTGAGGCTGGGGGATGGCTGGAATTCAGGAGTTATGAGCTGCAATGGACTAAAGCCAATTGGGGGTCCTCCTTAAGTCTGGCACTAATATGTTGAGACTCTGGAGTGGGGGCAGAGGAAAGGTCATCAAGCTGCCTAAGAAGTGGCGAATTGGTCCAGATCACAAGTGGAAGACAAAGCTTCTGTGCTGATCAGCAGTGAGAATGGATCTTGGGCAGCTACTGTGATTCCAACCTGGACAAGATAGAAAGAGGAGAAGGAAGGAGAAGGAAAGGAGAAAAGAGTGGTGGGGGGGAGAAAAAGAAAGGAAAAGAGAAGGGAGAAAAAGTGGAAAGAGAAAGGGAGGTGGAAGAAAGGAAGAGAGAGGGAGGTGGAGGAAAGGGGTACAGGAGGAAGAGGAACAGGAAGAAGGAGATGGAGAAGAAGAAGGAAAGGGAGAGAGGATAGGGGAAGGGGAAGAGGAAGGAGGAAGAAGAAGGGAAAGAAGGAAAAGGAGGAGAAGAGGAAAAGAAGAAAGAAAAGAAGACTTTCAATAAGCCTACTAATCCAAAAGATTATGACCAAATGAATACTCAGGAAGAATGACAGACCATTTGTCATGAACAAAATATCACTACATAGTAAAGAAATGTAAACAAAGCAGATGTCTATTGTCTGGGGAATGGTTACATAAAATGTGGCACATGATGTAATGGAAGATCATTGAACCATAAGATACTTTGACTATAATGACTTTTAGTTAAGATGGTGAAAGGTCATAGAGTCCCGCCCTCTCCTATACAAACATAATACGTAATAAAGGATCCCAGCTAGATGAATGATAAAGAGAACTGAAAAGTAGTAGAAGATACTCCATCTAGTGTAAAATGGCACAAAAAGACAGTCAGAAGCCAGCAAATGTTGTCAATTTTGTGAGAATAGAAAGGGAAAAAGACAAACTATAAATATAAAGAATTCAGAGAAGCATGGGAAGATGTATGAACTGATAGAGTGAAATAAACAGAGCTAGGAAAGGCAATATACATAGTGATTATAACAATGTTCCCAAGCAGCTAGGAGGCACAGTAGATAGAGTGCCAGGCCTGGAGTTAGGACTATCTGAGTTCAAATCTGGCCTCAGACATTTACTAGCTGTGTGACCCTGGGCAAGCTACTTAACCCAGGTTGCCTCAGTTTCCCCATCTGTAAAATGAGCTGGAGAAGGAAATGGCAAACCAAAATTGCCAAGAAAACTCCAAATGGAGTCATGAAGAGTCAGAAACGACTGAACATCAACACAACAATAATAATGTAAATGGAAAGAAGTTTGGGACTGTGAATATGAAACATTGCATATAGTATCAGATTCAGCTGATGTGTTGGCTAATTTTGCTAAACTGCTTTTTTCTTCTTTTATTTCTTATTTTTTACCATTTGCAGGGCAGATGGGAAACAGGTCAGCCAGATTGGAGATGCCATTAGTCTATTAATCATCTTTGTAATATTAATAAAACTAAGATAATATTTCTTATTTTTATTTTATCTTTATTTTATTTTTTATTCTTATACTTATTTCTCTTTATTTTTTCTTATATTTATTTTATCTTTATTCTTATATTCCTTTTATTTATTTTATCTTTATTTTATTCTATATTTCTTTTGTTTATTGAGGTGGTTCTCAGTGTAGCAAAGGGGAAAGAATATATTCAGAAACAAAGATGATATAAAAACAAAAAGGTAAAAATAAAAATAAAAATTTAAGAAAAGATGTCACCATAGATTGTTCAGTCTGTCCAGGGGTTTGATAAGAGGATGGGGCAAGTGTGCTATAATCAAAGACCATTCACTAGTCGGGGCCTGTTGTCACTGACAATAGACAATAGCACTATGGTGAAGTCACTTGATTTGTGATGACAGAAATGAAAG